CTGTCTTCTGACTGCTGTCATCAGAGTCAAGTTTGGGGAAGGACAGGGATTTGATATTGCTTACTGCAGGGATGGGGGGAAGGGACACTTTGGAAGACAGCGACATCTTTTCACAGTTGCCCAACTGTGGTAAGGTTATAAAGCCATTGGGTTTGTGATGAGGCTTGAACTCCAGAGTAGCCCGCTCTAAGGATGCCAGGACTTCCCCCTCGTCCTGTAACACAGAGCCAGAGCCTCCCCCAGGCAAGTTACTGTCTAATAGCTGAGCCATGATGGGTCCAGTGGTTCCTACTAGAATGTTTCTCAGCTCTTCCTTCTCATCAATAGTTTTTAATTCCAGATTATCAAATGGGTCTTCTTCACACTCAAAGTCAGCAGGATTGAAATCTGCCTTTGTGTGAGGTGGGCTGAGAACCTTCTGTTTCGTGGCAGTGCTGCTGACTCGAGTCGGGGTGAGGATGCTGTTGTGCTGTAAGCTGGCGAGGATGGGGTTAATGGGAGGTGGCATTGCAGCTGTGCTGTAAGTCTTGGAGAAGCCCATTTTGCTATCACTCTCTGGGCCGCTCTGAGCATTCACTTTAGTTTCTGCTTCCTCAGCTTTGCGCTCAGCTTCCCGTTGGGCTTCCTGGATGTTCTTAATGTCTTCAGCCCACTTGATGGTTTTCTTTTCCAAGGAAAAGTCATACTGTACTTCTCTGACAACCTGCAAACAATCAGGCAAGGAGAAGCCAATAGGCAGATCAACTTTGGCTGGTGTTTTGAACTTGTCTCCGATCTTAAATGGAACATCATCAAGGTAACTGAAAGGCCCATGAAAGTCTGCACACAACTTCTTAGAAGCCATTTAGAACCTGAACGCCGCTACCGCCGCCGTCCCAGAAACCAAAAGGTGCTGGCGCCGGCCGGCCACCCAGGCTCAGTTCCCGCAAAGCTCTGGACAGCCCCTAGGGACAGCGAAAGCCACCACCTCCAACTCTGGCCGCCCCGGGCCAAGCTGACAACGCAGACAGCCCAAGGACCTCAGCCGCCATGTTTAAGTCCTCTGTTTTTGTTTTTTTACTGTTAGCAAAACAAAATGGAATTTGAAAGCACTGAAAGAAGTTTATAAATTACATTAATAATTTTACAAATAAAGTGTTGAAAGTATTACCTGATTTCTTCCTTCAGTTTATAGTAGAACTAATCATATAGAAATGAGGGAAAAGAAGTAAATTTAATCTGATAGAAAACAAACCCAAAAATGCCTGTAAAGCAACAAAACAAAACGAAGAGTTGGAAAACTTAGAAGCTTTCAATCTCTAAGATGATAAAGCATACTGAAATTTAGAAATCACTTCTGAAAACATTACACACAAAAAAGACAAGGATGTGGCTGTACAAACTTGTAAAATCTTGAATAAAAGTTTATTCAGTCACCCAAAAAACCTCTTCAAAGTATTAAAATTGTATCTCATACATCCTTTAAATAAAATCGTAGGCTTTCTAAGAGGCTCATAGGCATTGACTTTTAGCTATTTTCAAGATGATAGAGAAGATAAAATAGAAATAATATTAATAATACAGTGAAAATATCTGGGAAGGTGTGTTTTGTCAAATAGAGTTAATTCTTTGAAGTCTGTTGGAGATCTACAACGTTTTTGAGAAATAGACATATATAATACACAAAATAAAATGCATATGTTGTTGTTACTATGTGTCATCGGTTGTACTACAACTAATAGAGACTATGAACAACAAATCTGAACCTTGCCCTATTCTGAGTCAACCTCACACTCTCTGACAAACTTGACCCTGTTGCCATAGTCGTTGTCTCAATTTATCTTATCAGGGTCTTCCTCTTCTATGCTAACTCTCCACCCCTTCAAGCATGATATCCTTCTTTAAGGAATGGGCATTACTGGCAACATGCATAAAATATGTGAAATAGATGGAGCTTCAAAAATCCTCGCCTCCCAGAAACAACTTGGTTTCACCACGGCAGACTTCTTTGTTCACTTGACAGTTCTTGGTATGTTCAAGACTCTTCTCCAGCAGCACAACTCAAAACCATGGATTCTTCTTCTGTCATTTTATTTATTGTCTAGCTCTCAGATGTATAGCCAGCATTTGAGAACATGATGGCCTGAATCAAGTGCACCATAGTTTCCAGACAAATTTGTTGCTCTTTAGCACTTAGGAAAGGTCTCTGACAATAGATTTCCCAAAGCTACTCATCTTTTGATTTCCTGACTGCTGGTACTACGAGTGTTGATTGTAAATCTAAGCAAGATGAAGTTGTTTACAGCTTCAATCTTTCTCCATCTCTCATGATAATGTAAATTGAGCCAGTGTTGAGGATCTTTGTTTTCTTCATGAAATGAAAATTAAATCCATACTGGATGCTACAGCCTTTCATTTTCTGTAGCAAACACATCAAGTCCTCCTCAGTTTCAGTCATCAAGGTGGTGTGATCTTCATAATGGAGGTTGTTGGTGAGTCTTCCTACTATCCTAATGCCATATTTTTCTTCATGAAGTCCAGCCTCTTAAATCATATGTTCCATGTATAGTCTGTCCCAAAATAAAACAGACTAAGAAGAAGGATATATTATATA